ACCCGCCAACGTGCCCCCCCCCCCACCGGCGAGCGCCGCCGTGGGACAAGGAGCTGCCCTGCACCTCCTAGCTGGAGGGAACACGAGGCGAAGGATCGGATCATTCACCGGGAACGTACCCTCCCCAAGTGGCAACAGCAACGGACTCATCTAAGTCGAATGCACCCGCCAACGTGCCCCCCTGGCAGGTTGAGGCGTGGAAGAATGGCCAGGTATGTCTGGTAGGGCTTTTGGCTCTAACAAGGGACCGCCCATCCCTCTACCAGCGGACTCCTGCGTGCATCGCCCCTCCTTTCCCGCTCTAGGATGGTGCACTTCCCGCGTGGCAGCTAACGCCTAGTCCCCCATTCCACGCGTGCCCGCTCGAGGATGGTGCACTTTCCGCATGGCAGCGAATACCTGAACCGCCATTCCAAGCGTGCCCGCTTGAGGATGGTGCACTTCCCACATGGCAGCTTATGCCTGAACCCTCATTCCATGCGCGCCCGCTCGAGGATTGTGCACCTCCCGCATGGCTGCTAAGTCCTAGGCCCCTCATCCCACGCGCACCCGCTCGAGGATTGTGCGCTTCCCGCATTCCCAGGCGCTGCTCCCAAGCGCTCCATGGCATCCCAAGCAACAATTCCATGTTAAAAACCATGGATCTGCGCCCCGAGCTTCCAAGACGGCTCGTGCAGGCAACTAAGGATACCAAAATGGCCTAAGATGCCTTGAAGACGGCCCAAGATGGCCCCAAGGCGGCCGGGGTATTAGTTCAAGACGGCCCAAGATGGCCACAAGAGGACATCCAACAGGGTCCGAAGAAGCCATTGATTCCCCTTTTGGGTTTTTGAAAGACGGCCCAAGAAGGCCTCCCGTGGGAACCAAGACGGCCTTAGAAGGCTCTTCGACGGCCCAAGACGGCCTCTCGAAGGCCCTCAGAGACCCACCATACGGCCGAGAGGGCTCCAAGACGGCCCAAGAGATCCCAAAGCCAGCGTAAGAGGGCTCCAGGACGGCTTAAGAGGGCCCCAAGGAACCCCAAAGACTGCCTCACAGGAGACCCAGAAAGTCCCATGACGGCCAAGACGAGCTTCATCATCATCATCATCATCATCATCATCATCATCATCATCATCATCATCATCATCAGCATCAGCATCATCATCATCATCATCATCAGCAGCAGCAGCATCATCATCACCCTCATCATCAGCATCATCATCATCATCGCCATCAGCAGTAGCAGCAGCACCAACATCATTATCATCATCACCACCATCATCATCATCAACATCATCATCACCATCATCATGATCATCTTCAAAATCAGCATCATCACCATCATCATCATCGTCGTTCTCAACGTCATCGTCATCGTCACCATCATCACATTCACCAACATAGGCATCAGCATCACCATCATCATCAGCATCTCATCACCAACATCATCATCACCACCAGCATCATCATCATCAGCATCAGCATCAGCATCAGCATCCGCATCATCATCATAGTCACAATCATCATCATCATTCGCATCATCGTACCATCGTCGTCGGCAAAAGCATCCTCATCACTATCATCAACTTCGGCATCATTATCGTCGTCGGCATAATGATCATCATCATCCGCATCATCACGGGCAAAATCACCATAACCATCATCACCATCATCAGCGCCATCATCATCATCATCAGCATCATCATCGACATCATCATCATCAACATCATCATCACCATTATCGTCGTCAGAAACGCCAGCGTCATCACCACCGTCATCACACTCACCATCATAGTCATCATCATCATCATCACCAGAATCGTCATCATCATAACCAACATCATCAGCATCACCACCAGCATCATCATCATCAGCATTCGCATCGTCATCATTATCATAGTCACAATCAGCATCCTCATCATCAGAACCATCGCCAGCGGCACAAACACCATCATCATCATCATCACCATCATCTTCAGTGTCACCATCATCAACATAATCAGCATCATTATCGTCTTCATCAACATGATCATCCTCCTCAGTCTCATCATCATCACCAGCGCAATACTCATAACAATCATCACCATCATCGTCATAAGCATCATCATCCTCAACATCATCAGCACCATCATCCTCAACGTCATCATCGGCATCACTGTCATCAGGAGCATCGTCATCATCCGCAGCATCAGCATCGGCAGCGGCATCAGCATCATCAGCACCATCATGCACATCATCATCGTCAGCAGCAGCATCAGCATCACCTGCAGCATCGACAGAACCATTGTCAGTATCAGCATCATCCTCCTCATAATCATCATTATCAACATCGTCATCATTATCGTCGTCGTCACCAATGCCAGCAACATCGTCATTAGTATTATCATAATCCTCATCCGTATATTCACCATCATCAGCATCACCATTAGAGCCATCAGCATCAGCAGCAGCATCGACATCGGTATGATCACCGTCATCGTCCTTGTCATCGTTACCGTCGTCGTCAAAGTCAGCATCAGCGGCAGCAACATCATCATCGTCATCTCCCCCATTTTCCTCATAGTCTTCATCATCCTCATCACGGCTCTCCCAAGCCTGGAGGCACGAGGTGACGGCCTCCCGTTTCCACTCGAACCGTCGCCAGCCAGAATGCTGGAATTGCACGGCGGGGGAACTTGCCGCAGGCAGCTTGACACGTGAAAACGATCTGCTGTCCCTGGCCTCCTGTGAAAGAGGCAGGGGGGGACCAGGCATCGCACGCCACATGGGGCCCGTATGAGGCGACACCGAGGGAGAGGACATGGGAGGGAGGACGCAGGAACCACGACAAAAAGAGGAGGCGCCACCCCGCTGCATTCCTCCAGGGAGCAGCCCAACATGCGGCAGGATCCCTACAGGCATCCGGGGCAGGCGAGGTAATGCGTGGGCCCGCGTGGGGTGCGAGTCCGCCGGACGTGTCCTGGGCGCGGCGGCGCGGCGACGGCGCGCCTGCCAGCACCCGGGGCAGGCGAGGTCGAGTTGGGCTTGCGCGGGACGCCACCCCGCTGGCCCCTTAGGACCGCACCAACCAAGAGTGGCAACGGTTGCGCGCGTGGCAACAGCCAGGGAAGGATGAAGGAGGGGGGCGGAGGGACGAGGAGGGGAGCAGCAGCGCCCTGGACCCAACACCAGAAGGATGCGAAAGATCAACCGGAGGGGCGGGAAGGAGGGCGAGACGGGAGAGGTGCTCCATCGAAAAAACGAGTGCCCGACGCAGGAGGGGTGGGACGCAATTCACATCGAGGAAGCGTCCAGCGAAAGCCTCACTTAGAAGAGGAGACGCCCTGCATGCGTGTAGAGGCACGACTACAACTGTTCGCGCCCTTGCGGGTGTCCCTTAGCGGTCCCTGAAGGCTTCCGGAGTGCAAAAATGGAGGAAACTGCCGAAAGTCTCTACCTTCCGTCTCCTCCTCGAACTGGGGCGTCTGAAACGGGGACAGCAGAAGCGGGGACGATGCCGACCTACAAATGATGTCCAAGACCGCCAGCACCCGATGTTGGGCGGGCGCTTCTCGCTGAAGACGGCCGACATCCGCGGCGGCCCCAACAACAAAAATCAACAACATCCGGCCCAGAAATCGCAAGAGCTGCAATCGAACTTCGTCCCCACCATTTCGGTGCCCAGGTGGCCCGCTGCGGCAACCCCCGGGTCCAGACGACCCCCCCCCCCAGAAGTGGCACCTCTTCGGGAGCAGCCTTTGCCTCCGCCAGCCTTCCGCAGGCGCAGCAGCCTTCGATTTGCTCCCGCCACCTTCCGCCGACCTTCCGCCGAAGCGAGAAGTCGACCTGTCAACCCCTTGAAGGCAAGGCCCCCTTTTTGAAGCGCCCTGGAAAATTCTGTCCTCCTGCGCGAAAGCAATCCATGCGGCCGCGCGGCACAAGAGGAGCGAAAACACACAGCACGAAAAGAGTCGGGCACGCACCAACCCGGGGCAACACGAACCGACATCGGCCAGTGCCCTGTCACGAAGCCGGGTCGGCCGCTTATTGTAGCTTCCTAGCCGGGGTCGGCGGACGGCAGATAGGGGGAATCGGCCCCACGTGGCTCACAAATCCGGGTTAGTGATCCCCGTTCCCAGACCCCCGACGCCATGACGTCATTTGTGACGTGGGCCCCCCGAAGTCTTGACCCATTCCATGGGACCAGTTCTTCATCCTGAGTCGTTCCTCCGGCGGTCCCGAGGGCCGGAGAGGGCCCCCAGAGACCGAAAGCAGAGACCTCACCACCGTCATGATTTTTCCATGACCCGAGGGAGGTCTGGGTCACGTGAGCCTTAGGCTGGGCATGTCCCCCTACAGGCGGGCTTTGGACGAAAAATTGAGAAAAATAGCAAAAAAATGCGCCAAACAAATTCAAAAATAGCCAAAACATCGTCCCCCGACTACTTGGCTTGACTGTTCGAGCACACTCCATCCTGCAGAGGGACGCGCCCGACTGTTGGCGGCGCGCACAAGGGGGCGGCGGGAGGGGGGAGGGCTCCTTCGAAGCAGGCTGCCTCTTAGCAGGCGCCGGCCCTAAATCTATAGATAAAGGCCCGCGCCTCCCAAAAGAGCAGGGGTGCTTCTAAGAAGCCCTCCCCCCTCCCTAAAACAGGGCTAGGATCGGGATAAATCGCTCCAGAGCGTTCTGGAGCGCTCTCAGAGCGTTCCGGAACGCTCTGGAGCGGCCGCGGCGCCCAATACATCCTCCAAACCCGCCGATTCTCAGAGATTTCGAATGATCCCGATCCGATTTTGTCCCGATCTTCGCGTTTTACTCCCCCCACCCCCCTCTGCGCGTGGCCAAGACTGACCGCGGGGCCTCGAGCCGCGACAGCGAAAACCGCGGCGCGCTCGGCGCGCTCGGCGCGCCGGGCGGCCTGCGGGGGCCGCGCGCCGCCCCGCCGCCGCCGGGCCACCGCGGCCACCGCGCGGCACCCGCCACCGAGGCCCTTTGCGGGGCAGCGCCCGCGGGGCGGCCGGCGCGCGGCGGCGGCGGGTCAGAACTTGAAGACGTGCTCCTTCCGGTAGCCTTGGCGTCCGAGCGGCAGGGGCAGACAGGTCGGCCACCGGCAAGAGAGGGGACAGCAAGGGACAGCAAGGGCGGAGAGGTCGGAGAGCACCCGCAACAACAACGACAACAACAGCAACAGCAACAACAACAGCAGCAGCAACAACAACAGCAACAACAACAGCAGCAGCGGCAGCAGCAGCAACAACAACAGCAACATGAAAAACACCAACAATAACAACAACAGCAACAACAACAACAACAACAACAACAACAACAACAGCAGCATCAACAACAACGACGACAATAGCAACAACAACAACAAAACAGCACCAGCAACAACAGCAGCAGAAACATACATAACAATAACAACAACAACGACAACAATAGCGACAACAACAACAACCACAACCACAACAACGACAACGACGACAACAACAGCAACAACAACAACAACGAGGACAGACAGATGGACAAGCAGGCCGGTGGCTTGCCTGGGAAAGGTTGAATTATACCGTGAGGGAAAACAGCATGTAAAAACAGCAGACAACAACAACACATGAGCATGCTACCAAAAATAACACGTACAAACAGCACGTAGAAGCAATACGTAAAAACAACACGTAAGCACAACATGTAAAAAAAACACACGTAAACACAACACGTAAAACAACACGTAAAAGCACGTACAACCAACCCTAACAACAATACATAAAACAACACGACGTAACAACAGTACGTAAACAACAAACGGTAAAACACGACGCACGACTCGTACGAGGAGGAGTGAGGGGGAGGAGGAGGAGGAGGAGGAGGAGGAGGAGGAGGAGGAGGAGGGAGGAGGAGGGAGGAAGAGGAGGAGGAGGAGGAGGGGGACGGGGAGGGGGAGGAGGAGGAGGGAGGGAGGAGGAGTTGGAGGATGCGCGCCGTCTCCAAGAGCGGGGGCGGGCGACAGCAGGCAGGCTTGGGGCCAGCCCAGGCCCTACACGCAAGCAGCCCAGTCCCCACACCGCCTCTTTTATTTGGCGTCTCTGGGCCTTCTCAATGGTCCTATTGGGGGTTTTTGGGGGCCCTTTAGGTGCCCTTTGGGGCCGTCACTGTGCCCTTTTGGACCGTCTTGGGGCCCCTTTGGGCAGTCTGGGGGCGTCTTGGAGGCCTTGGAGCGTCTTGGGCCTCTCTCGGAAGCTCCCAGGGGCCCTCTTGGGAGCCTCTGGGGGCGCTCTTGGAGCCCTCTCGGGCCGTCCTGGGGCCATGTTGGGCCCCTCTTGGGCCGTCTCGGGCCCGTCTTGGCTTGTCTTGGGGCGCTCCTGGGGCCCTCTTGGGCCGTCCCGGTGCGATTTGTGGGGCCCCTTGGGCTGCCTTGAACCCTGTGAAAGCCGAAAAAGCTGAGATGCTGAACATGTATGCTTTCCCATCGAATTTTTGATGATTTTAGCCTCTGTGGGTTCCTCTTGGGGGCCTCTTGGGGTCCTCTTGGACCGTCTTGGAGCAACCTTAGGGTGTCCTGGGGGCTTCGTGGACCGTATTGGAGCCAATTTAGGCTATCTTGGGGCGCTTTCGGGCTGTTCTGGGGCGTCTTGGGGGTGTCTTGGCCCGCCTTGGGCGCTTCTGGGGCCGTCTTGGGCGCCTCGGGGGCCTCAAAAGGCCATTCGAGCCCGGGTTGGCGCGACTCGCCCCTCCCCTGGAACCCCTCCCTGAAAGGCTTCGCCCCACGAAATTCGCCGGCCCAACGGGCCAGGGCGTGCTAAGATCTCCGGTACCTGGTTAACAGTATTTCTAGTTCGCGCGCGCGGGGCGGCCCCTGGGGGTCCCCGGACGAAAAGTACCCCAGCAAGGTCCCGGCAAGTCCCCGGCATGGTCCCGGCAAGTCCCCGGCAAGGTCCCGGCAAGGTCGGGCCAGAGATGCCGGAGCCCTGTTACAGGGCCCCAGGACGGGCCAAGAGGTCCCCAACAAGCCTCCAAGACGGTCCAAGGAGGGCCCCGAGACGGCCAAAGATCGCCCGAAGACGCCCAACAGGGCCCCAAGACAGCCCAAGAGGCCTCCAAGACGCCCCAAGGGCCTTCCAAGAGGCCTCCGAAGAGGGCCCCAAGAGGCCAACATCGTTGTTTGTCATTGTTTTTTTCGTTGATTTTCATTGTTTTTTTTCAATGTTTTTTGCGTTCTGGCTCTTTCGGCTTCCGGACGCTCCAAGACGGCCCAAGAGGCCCCCAAGACCGCTCCAGGACGGCCCACGAGGCTCCCAAGACGGCCCCGGAACGGCCCAGGAGGGCCCCCAAGACGGCCCAAGTGCCGCCCAAGACGGACCAAGAGGCCCCAAGACGGGCCCAAGAGGGGCTCAAGAGGGGAACCGAGAACTGAAAAATCGAGCCCTCCGCCCCAGAAGGCGCCCAGGAGGCCCCAAAAAGGCCCCAAGAGGCCCCCAAGAGGCCCCCCCAAGACGCCCCAAGAGGCGCCCAAGAGGCCCAAAAGAGGCCCCAAGAGGCCCCAAAACGGCCCCCAAGAGGCCCCAAAACTCGGCTAACCCACAACGGTGCGACAATATGGGCCGGCGGAATGAGCGAAGCGATTAAATAACGTACATCACTCGTACCTCGCTCTTTCCGTCACCTGCTTGGCATGGGGACGGAAAGCGCGTTTACTTTGTGAGTGCGCGAGGTCGATAGTGTCTTGGAGCCCAATTGGTGTTAAGGCCTCGGTAAGATACGACAAAATCTAGCAATCAACCTTGCGAAAATCTATATAATTCATATTGAAGTTCCGAGCCTTCCTGGGGGTCCTTTTGGGGCTCTTCTGGGCCGTCTTAGGGCCGTTTGAGCCATCCCGCAGAACCCTCTTGGGCCGTCTCGGCGGGCTTGGGCCGTCTTGGGGCCCTCTGGGAGCCCTCCTGGGTCCCCTTGGGGACCTCCTGTGGCCCTCTTGGGGCTATCTTGGAAACCTTTTAAGACCCTCAGGGGCCTCTCTTGGGCCGTCTTGGAGCTCTCTGGGCACCTGTGGTGTTGGGTCCTCTTTGTGAAAAGACAGCGCCCCGCGTCTCTCCTCCTCTCCTCTCCTCCTCTCCCTCCTCCCTCCTCCCCCTCCTTGCCTCTGCCCTCCGCATGTCTCTGTTTCTGCACACCCATTACAGCGTTTCGTGGCCCCACAGGGAGCTCCACCGAAGGCCCCAGTGGCAGGGCCCGCGTGCCGCCAAATCGCCATTTCGGCACACCCCTCACACGCTTCGTGGCCCCATAGGGAGCTAGCACAAGCTATATGATAGTTTCGTGAGGAGGGGAGGGGGCGCATGAGGAGGAGAAGGAAGAGGAGGAGGCTGGGGAGAATGAGCGCGAGGCACGAGTACTCCTGCCGTGCCGCTGGTGATCCACACCCTCACTGCTGGGCCTGGGCTGTCACTGAGCCACCCCCGTTCTGGGGGGCGTGCTACCACGCTGCCCATGAACGGCATGAACGTCAAACTTTCGGCGCTCCTCGCGGATTTCTGGGATCTGCGCTGGACCCCCCTCCCTGGCGCGCCTCCAGCGCCAGGGGCGGCGCCGGAGGCGCTGGGGGAGCCCAGCGCGGATCCAACAAATCCGCGCGGAGCGCCGAAAATGTATGTTTATGCAATTTCTCCCTTCCTCTAGGAACAGGAGAACGAGCCCTTCTGTCACAGAGGGCCTCCGCTCCTCCGTGAAATTCTGCCCCCTCTGTCACGGGGGGGCGAGCTTGTCATTATGTTTCGGCCTGCGGCTTCTGGCTACACTGAGGTCGGACATGTCCCCCTACAGGCGGGTCTTGGACGAATGAGAAGCCATAGTCCAAAACTATATCCAAACACGCGCCAACAGTGACAAAAGAAATCGCCCCCGCACCAAAGCTGGCCTACCTTTGAACACTCCCCCTGGCAGGGGGGACAGGCCCGACTTGAGGCCGCCTGTGGCCCGTGGCCGTGGCGCTCTGGCGCGCCCGCCCGCCGCTGCGCGGCCGCAGGCGCCGCCGCCGCCCTCCACGGGCCGAGTGAAGATTCAGAGGAGGAGGAGGAGGAGAAGGAGGAGGAGGAGGAGGAGGAGGAGGAGGAGAAGAAGGTGGAGGAGGAGGAGCAGGAGGAGGAAGAGGGAGGAGGAGGGAGGAGGAGGAAGGAGGAGGAGGAGGAGGAGGAGCAGGACCCCGACCCCCATCAGGGAGCACGCAGGCGCGGCTCCTTTCGGGGAGCTTTGGGGCGCCGTCCTGTCGGGGAGCACGCGGGAGGGGAGCTTCGGGGCGCCGCTCCTTCGGGGAGCAACACGGGCGCGCCTCCGCCGTCATGATTTTGTCATGGCGTCGACCCCCAGAGGTTGAGGGGCAATGATAAGGGGGGGGGCCTGCATAGGGGGGGGGGGCGCATCGACCCTGGAAGCGGCGATGCATCGCCGATAGATCGGTGATGGGCTTCCGATCGTGAATCCGCACCTTCCTGGCCCGGCGGGGGCTGTCGGGCCCCTAGCGGCTATCCGTGGGCGATTCGGGGTCGATGCATCCCCCCCTTATCGTTGCCACTGAAGAGGTCTGAACCCCTTCCCCAGCACCGGTTCTTCATCCTGAGTCGTCTTGCGACGGTCCCGAGGCCCGGCAGGGGCCCTCAGAGGCCGAAGACATGGCAAAACCTCGGGTCGCGATCTCTGTACCATGCGAGGGGGTCTGGGGAGGCCGACGGGGAGGGAGGAGGAGGAGCAGGAGGAGGAGGAGGAGGAGGAGGAGGAGGAGCAGCAGGAGGAGGAGCAGAAGGAGGAGGAGGAGGAGGAGGAGGAGCAGGAGGAGGAGGAGGAGGAGGAGGAGAAGGAGGAGCAGGAGGAGGGGGAGGAGAGGGACGAGGAGGAGAAGGACGAGGAGGACGAGGAGGAGGAGGCCCCCGGGCCGCGGGCGCGCCGAGCGCGCGGCCCAGCTCGGCCAGCGCGCCGGTCACCTCCGCGTCGTCGCGGGCGCCGCAGAGCGCGGCGTACATGGGCGGGGGCCCGCACACCATGACGAGGGTGTCCTCGGAGGGCGGAGCGGCGTGCTCCTGCGGGAGGGGTCCGAAGGGGACCTCCTGGGGCACACAGAGGGACAGGCGCAAATCCCAGGACATTCCCCAGACACTATATATATATATATATATATATATATATATATTATATATTTATATATATATAGTCTGGGTGTTCTCCCCCCCCACACACACAAACTTTTTCCATAGTTTCCCATCTGTTCCTGGGGATCGACGATGGATTGTGTCTGCGCAGAAGAAACAACGCAGAAAAACAACAAAAGCTGCGCACGGCGGGTTCGTGCGGAGTCGGCGCGCGCAGAGAATTTTGACCCCTCGCCCATCGTTCCACCTCGAACCGATCGCGGCCCGATCGTGCAAGGTCGAATTCCGCCGGGTCCAGTGGCGTCACCGTGTCCCTCGGTGCCTCCGCGTCGCAGAATTCAACCTTGCACGCATTTGCTGGCGTCGCCACCGCGCCGAGGCTGCATGAATCTGACGTGAACATAAACTTTTGGGATCGGCGCGGGGGGATGGAGGCCTACCAGATGGGGTCCGAGCAAATGGGGCCGGAAGATCGCGTGGGGTCGCCGATGCATCGGCCATGCGGCTCGATGTGGAGCCCGAGCTTCTCGACGCCAACTTCCCCGATGCATCGCAAATGCCACCGATGCATCGGCCACGTGTCAACGATGCATCGGCGATGCATCGGCCATGCCATGCCGCGCGATCCTTCGACCCCATGTGCTCGAACCCCGTCTGGGAGGCCTTGGGAGGAGTCGCAGGCGTCGGGAAAGAAACAGCTACACAAGCATAAACTTCTGGAGGCCCGCGCGGATCTACTGGATCTGCGCCGAACCAGCCCTCCCGGGCGCGCGGAGCGCGCCAGGCATGGCGCCAGAGGCCCGGCCAGGGGGGCCACCGCCGATCCGAGAAGTCCGCGCGGAGCTCCGAGATTTGGTGTTAGCGTCGATGTTCGTTCCTCCAGGAGATCACCAATCGCCTTGGGGCCACCCTGAGTCGGCGGCGGACAGGCCTCCCTTTCGTGAACCTCCCCTCAGTGAAAACGGCCCGGGACCGAAACCGACGGACCTGGCCCTGCAAAAATGACGGCCGCGACGCCCTCTCGCGAACCGAAAACGGCCCATTCCTTCATCGACGTGTCAGGGTGTAAGAAGGGTCTATCAACCTCCGACTGGGGCGGCCTCAGGCCGTCTCTGGGCCGCCCTCGCGTCGTGTCTGTGCCGCGTTGTTTTGTCCCCCTCGAGGGCGGGAGGCGTGCCCAGAGGCCAAGAGGTCCAAAGGGGCCTCGCGGCCCGGGCGCCTCGGCCGCGGCACCGCGGACACGGGGCGGCGCTGCGCGGAGGGCCCCGCGCAGGAGCGCCTTCCAGGGCAGCGTGCTGCGATGCCCAGGCCGCCAGGGGCGGGGATCTTGGACAGGTGCGCCGCTCGCGGAGGAGGAGCAGAAGTGCGGATGCGTGGTACAAGAGACACACCGGGCACGAGGGACGACGCCGCTCTCACAGGCAGGCTGCGCTCCACACGCTCTCGGACCAGAGGCACGCGTCAGGGTTGCAAGGTCAGCGCCCTTTTTTGTTTCTCAAGATGAAGGAACCGAGAGAGACACAACATAAAAACTCTGCGGTCAGCGCTGATTTCTGGGATCGGCTCTGGACCCCCTCCCTAGCGCGCGGAGCGCGCCAGGGGCGGCGCCGGAGGCGCCGCCAGGGGGCCCCTGCGCCAATCCGAGGAATCCGCGCGGACCTCCGAATATTTATGCTTATGTCATTGTCTGTTCCCCTGGAGATCACCCATCGTCTTCGAGCCATCTTGAGGCGGCCTTAGGCTGGGTTGGGGCCGCCCGAGGGCCATCTCGCGCCAGCTAGGCGGATCTTTGGGGCGACTCGCGCCCTCCGGAGGGCTCTTGCACGCCTCTTGGAAGCCTCGGGGGCCCTTCCGAGAGCCACCCGGGGCCGCCTCAGTTCGTTGTTGTTCGTTTACCTTCCTGAGTTGTTCCAAGTTCTCGGGCATGGGGGGGTGCTTCCAGCTGCTGCGCCTTGCCGAGGGCTGGGGGCGCCCGATCCGTCCCGAACGGTCGTCGCAGGCCAGAGGCATGGCCAGATAACCAACCGGATGGAGGAGTCAAAACGAGTGCGGGGGACAGACAAGATCGGGCACACGCAGCTCGGGATTACCCTTCTGGGGGGCGGCGGGACCGGAGGAACAGATCAAGGCGTTCTGGAGCGCTTCAAAATTCTGCGAGTGTTCCAGAGCGCTCTGGTGAGATTTTCTTGTATCCCAGGCATGCCTGACAAGGGCCTGTTCCACCAGATCTAGGTGCCATGAAAAAAACAAGCATCCTTACGCGATCTCTCGGGCCCGAGGGGCCGTCGCGGACCGAGCCAGCTTGATGAAACAGCGCGCGAGCGTGCGGTGCACAGCTCCATTCGTGAATTTCCTCGGCGGCGTCTGTTTTGTCACCATGGCAGATCTCGGGGATCCTGGCCTGGCCTGGCTGGAAGCCACTACCTGACAAGATCGGGGCACCGGTTGCCGCAGGCCGCCCGTCGCAGTGGGAGGCAGATCTCCCGGGGCGCCTCGCGTCCAGGACCAAGCCGGAGGAGGCCGGCCCGCCCAGGGGCAGGCCGGGTGAGCCCAGACTGGGCAGGACTCGACCGGCAGGACATCTCAGCTCCGACCCTGAAGTCAACCTCGAAGGCCGTCCCATGGAGACCGTGCACCCGAAATCCGCCCGAGCAGCGATGCCGACGTGGCGGGCGGCAGACACGCGGCACGACAGCCGATCCAAGCGCGTTGACCGAGCGCAGCTGGCTGCGGCGTGGCCGCATCGACTGCACGCAAGAGCGGCCCTGCGCAAGAGTGACCTGTGGTGCGCGGCTTTTCGGGGGCCCCGAGGTGAACAAACACGGGCGCGCAAGACGCCACCGCCGACTCGCGCTCGGCGATGGGGGGGGGGCCCATTGGGCCCGAACCGAGGGCTACTCAGGCGAAAGGTCACGCTTACTTGCGTCTGGTCGCCGAGCCGACAAGGGGCGTGGACGCCCCTGCGGCAGGCGAGCCCAGAGTCGAGTCGACAACTGGAATCGGCGATCGAAATTGATCGGATCGGCGGAAATCGGCAGCCAAGTCGGAGGACTCGAACCGGCGGAAATCGGCAGAGCAGTAATGCCTCACAAATCGGAACCCACATCGCAATCCAAAGCCGAATCGCATCGGAACCGGAACCCATCGAACTCCGATCCAATCGAATCGAATCGGAGGAAGCGAAACGAGCCCTGCTGCGGTCCTTCACGACGTCCTTCGTGATGAAGCCCCGGGCGCCTTTCCAGCCCGCGTCCTCGCCTTAGGTCGGGCCTGTCCCCCTACGTACACGGGGATGTTGGGCCAAACATTGAAAACAGTCAGACCGGAAACGACCAATTTGACTAGAAAAACACAACCGGAAGCCCGGAACATGCAACACAACCGGGGCTGGCCCGCATATACCCGCAGATGTGTGTGTGTGTGTGTTGTGTGTGTTGTGTGTGTGTTGTGTGTGTGTTG